TTAACCAATAAATGCAATTTTGGTGAGCATAAGAAACGCAAGAAAACCAGTCGTACAATATCATTCCTCTCTCTAGCACAAATGGTGCAGGACGAGGTACAAAACAAAATTAGAAGTAGTTTGAAATTGTTAGAAGTCAAAGTTCAAATCCCTTGCCTATGGATGAGCATAAGAAGTACAAGAATCCCTAAAGAGAACTAGAGAGTTAAGTAATGTTGGTCACTTTATCAATAAAATGGCCTCAAATGTTTGTCCCTTAATGGAGCACAGGCAGTGAAACTAGATGTGCTTCTATTTATTGAACGTGTACACAATGACATCTGCGTTTAATTTCTCGACCTGTGCAATCATTCATGGCTTATGTTATTCTCTCTCACTTTCTCTCTTGTGTGTTCGATGTCATGATGTTTACAGTTCCCTTCTCTTTGATTGAAATCAGGACAAACACACAAATGCACACAACTTCCCATCATACCCTGAAAAGTTTAAACCTGCAGCTGGAAATGGATCGTTTTTGCCTGGCCGGGACACATAAGCTGCCTCACACCGCGTTCTTTGAGCACAGTCGGAGCGTTTACTATATTAATAAAGACCAGATGATGCAGGTTCGCGAAAGGGCCTGTATTTGAGTTTGGCCAAGGCTCTATCCCACTCCAACTGGAGTGACTCATGTTAGAAGTTTAAAAGGATATTTCACCCAAAATGAAAAATGGCATCCTTTAATCACACATTATTATCATTCTTCAATAAAACCTTAATGTCTGAGCTGTTGTTTCCAATCAGCAAAATTGGATTTTAATTTATACAGTCAAGCTCCACAAAGAAGAAAAAAACATTGAAAGTCTGATCTGGCTTTTGTATTGTGGCTCTTCTAAAGAAAAGAAAGGGCCCTTCACATGCATCACGCCAGATTTCATGTCTTCGACAACCAAATGGCATTGGTTCTCATGGACACACTACCGTAATACTTTATGGTTTAGAAAATCTCTAAAACATAAACTCTCTTATGCTCAACCAGACTGCATTCATTTGAACCGAAATTCAGCTAAAACAGTTAAATTGTGCAATATTAGTTTGATGATCAAGAAATGTTTCTAATTATTATTGATGTTTAAAACAGTTTGTGTTGATGTTTTCAAAGATTCTTTTGAATACAGTGTGTTGAGTACAGTTGTGGTTCTGTGAATGTTCAGATGCCTTGATCTTATCAAGGATTTGATGAAGTGGAGCAGCTATGAAAGGTTACTTTGTGTAAAGCCCTCATTTGATCAGGACCGTGATACGGGTAGATGTCCTAGCGGGGATGACAAGCCACATCAAACTGAGAGAGCTCCTCTCCAAGTAAGGTAAGAAGAGCCTTCAAGCTTTTCATGTGTCTGCCCAATTGAGTTACCCATTTGTAGTTATCAGTCATGAGAATAGGATGGCAGCAATAAAAGTGGAGTCTGGGTCTGTTTGCGTCAGACTCACTAATTACAGGCCTGTCTTTGTGCAGATATACATCTGAGACGCTCTGTGAAAGCATTAGTGTACAGTCAGGGTGACTCAGAAACCAAAAAACCTTATTATTCCTCCCTCCTCATTTCCTGTGCCCATGCATGGTTCACCTGGTTTCAGCTCTTTCAGCACTCTATACGTGCTGTACACACACACCTGTGTCCAGAACACCACCGATTAATGAAATCTAGGGGATGCACACTTATATAGGCCTTATATAGTGCATTATATAGGCCTACATTCATGCATTGACAAGCAATTTTATCCATTGCATTCAAGATGCATGTTTTATCAGGTCATGCAATCCCTGGGAATCAAACCCATGACCTGTTTGAGGGGGACACATTGGTCACAAATGTCTTAAACCCTCCCATTTTATCCCTTAAACCTTATCTATGATCGCCAAAGAATCGCTTTTCCTTTCTTTCTTTGTCATGGCTTAAAATATCTTGAATGTAACTCGACACTCTTGCCTCTTTTAGTATATGTGGTTCTATGAATATGCAAATGAGCCCCGCCCCCTCTCACTCACTCAGCTCAGAGTTCCACTGGTTGACAATTACACGTTGATATGCTTTTTAGACTGTCTTTCACCGTGTCCTAACTACACGCGACGCCGCGACACGCGATAAAATGTATCTTTTCCATGTTAATCAGAGTTTTTGTCCTGACCAGACGTGGCGGCGACACGCAAAGTTTCTAATTTAGAAACGGTTATTTCCTATTTCTGCGACGTCATGGCTGACAGAATGAAGAAATTACACTGGTTATGAGTATACATTATTTATTTTTAGTTAAAAATAGATCACTGTTAACCTGGCCCTAGCCCGATGAATGTCGTTCCGCTTAGCTCCGCCTAGCTTCACTCACATCCATCTGGAACCTCTTCCATTGAGAGTGATTTCTCCAACCAACTTTATGGCTTAGCCAATCAGGACGCAGGGCGGGAGTTTCATAGATGTGACGTAGTGGAGAAGCTACAACAATGGCGGCTTGCATCGAG